GGTATGTACATTACTGCACATCCAGCGGGCTGTATATATACTGTATACTGTATGTAGCCGAAGCTACCGTATTACCGCACATGCAGCGGGCTGTATATATACTGTATACTGTATGTAGCCGAAGCTACCGTAGTACCGCACATCCAGCGGGCTGTATATATACTGTATGTAGCCGAAGCTACCGTATTACCGCACATCCGGGCTGCGGTAGCCGAAACCATCTGATCTGATTTGGAATTTGATCCATATGATGACTGTCTTACAAATGTATCACAAGATGTCATTCATGAACTTATGATGTCAGAGGATGAACATGAGGATTTTGAAGGATTTTAAGTAGCGGTAAGTCATAACCATTTCAATTAAAAAATCTGATGTTTTTAAATGGTGTTGCCTCAGAAGGGGGGTGGTCTTATACGGCGAGTATAGCCCAAAATCTGTGTTTTAACTGGAAATTTAGGGGGTCGTCTTATACACCCAGTTGCCTTATACGCCTTATACGCCTTCCTATTTATTTACCACCACTAGCAACGTAAGGAATCAATGTGGATTTAGAGAGAATTTCGCTCTGCTTTAAGAAATTAGCTATTTTTTTTTTCAAGTTCCAACCTTCTCCGATGTGATATGCCTAGGAGGAGGGGTCACATGATGCTCCTTTTTTTTTTTTTATTCCTCCATATGTGCTGGATTTTCATGAGAACTAATGAACAAGTTTTTTTCTGCAAACGTATTAGAATTTTATTATGTTATGATGCCAATTTATGGTAATAATTCTTTGCATCCTTGTCTTAAAAAAGGTTGATTTTTTTTTCTTATTTTTAATCACATTCTTAAAATGACTAAATAAAGTAAAACGACAAAATACAAAACCATCAACGTTAAAATTTGTCTATGAAATCTAAATACCCTGAAATCATTTATAAAGGAAAGACTCTATGGCTCCATAAAAGAAATGAACTTTTGCCAGGCACACAACATCATAACAGCGGGAAGCAGAAGAGATGGTGAAATAGCTACTTTAAAATAAAAAAAATAAATTGTTTATTAAAGCTCTTGTCTTCACAGCGGGGAAGAAAAGAGGGAAAAGCTGAAGTGGCCACTTAAAAAATGTATTTATTTAAAAAAAAAATGTATCTAGAAAGTGGAGTACAGGCAAAAAAAAGCATATTAACAAACACTTACATTCATTCAACTACACCGCAGCAGGGCACGAGGAAGAAAGGAGGAAAAAAACCCCACAGAATAATATATAAAAAATAAACAATCAACGATAAAAAAGAAATGTTACCAGGCAAGCGATTAAGCGATAGAAATTCATTCTGATACCTTTTGTTGATTTTTATAAGCATTTAAAAGCTTTTGGAAGGGAAGCGATAACACATAAAATCAGGAGCACACAATGGGAATGTCTGCATACTGGTTCAAGTAAAAATGATTGATTTCAATATTCTGGTGGGGCAGACAGTATAATAAAACTAATTCACTTAACAAATGAAATCAGTTTTATGTTGAATGAAATGAAATATAGGTTTCTAAACAGGCTGAGTTATATTTACAGAAATCTTTTTCATTGTGACACAAGAAATAGAGATGCTTATCCTGGGAAAAATGCTAAATTCTCACAATCAACATTATATATTTGTAATCCTTATGCTGCTAGCATTAGTAAATACATAGGAAGGCATATTATATGTACCTGGTTTATTTATTTATTTTGTTCTTTAGTTGATTCCTGGTTTCTGGCCTAGGCCGAAATGATGTCATATATTCCAGGAGGCTTTATTTTTTTGTTTTGTTCAGCTAAGCACACCTTCCTCTCTGCATGCCTGAGCTAAGGGCAGATGGATTCCAGGAAGTAAATACTACATGAATCATCTCCCCTCAATGTCATACATTCCTGGAGTCTTCATTTTTTGTTTTTTGGGAGAAGGGGCTTTCTTAGCTAAGCAGACCCTCCTCTCTGCATGCCTGAGCTAAGGGCAGAGGGATTCCAGGAAGTAAATACTACACGAATCATCTCCCCTCAATGTCATACGTTCCAGGAGTCTTCATTTTTTGTTTTTGGGAGGAGTGGCTTTCTCGGCTAAGCACACCCTCCTCTCTGCATGCCTGAGCTAAGGGCAGATGGATTCCAGGAAGTAAATACTACATGAATCATCTCCCCTCAATGTCATACATTCCTGGAGTCTTCATTTTTTTGTTTTTTGGGAGAAGGGGCTTTCTCAGCTAAGCACACCCTCCTCTCTGCATGCCTGAGCTAAGGGCAGATGGATTCCAGGAAGTAAATACTATATGAATCATCTCCCCTCAATGTCATACATTCCAGGTGTCTTCATTTTTTGTTTTTTGGGAGAAGGGGCTTTCTTAGCTAAGCAGACCCTCCTCATTGCATGCCTGAGCTAAGGGCAGATGGATTCCAGGAAGTAAATACTACATGAATCATCTCCCCTCAATGTCATACATTCCAGGAGTCTTCAATTTTTGTTTTTGGGAGAAGGGGCTTTCTCGGCTAAGCACACCCTCCTCTCTGCGTGCCTGAGCTAAGGGCAGATGGATTCCAGGAAGTAAATACTACATGAATCATCTCCCCTCAATGTCATACATTCCAGGATTCTTCATTTTTTGTTTTTTTGTGAGAAGGAGCTTTCTCAGCTAAGCACATCCTCCTCTCTGCATGCCTGAGCTAAGAGCAGATGGATTCCAGGAAGTAAATACTACATGAATCATCTCCCCTCAATGTCATACATTCCAGGAGTCTTCATTTTTTGTTTTTGGGAAGAGGGGCTTTCTCAGCTAAACACACCCTCCTCTCTGCATGCCTGAGCTAAGGGCAGATGGATTCCAGGAAGTAAATACTACATGAATCATCTCCCCTCAATGTCATACATTCCAGGAGTCTTCATTTTTTGCTTTTGGGAAGAGGGGCTTTCTCAGCTAAGCACACCCACTTCTCTGCATGCCTGAGCTAAGGGCAGATGGATTCCAGGAAGTATATACTACATGAATCATCTCCCCTTACTCAAGATAGCCAGTCACAGCCAGAACTACTAGGGGGTGTCTTTCAAAGTGATTTCTTAAAAAACTAAATCATCTCTTAGATTACAAGCTCCAAGGAGCAGGGCCCTCGAACCCCTCGTGTATCGCATTTGTATTGTTATTTTACTGTTGCATGTATTGTCTCCCAATGTAATGTACAGCGCTGAGCGAACTGTTGGCGCTTTATAAATAATGAATAATAATAATGGAAACATGGCTGGATGGGGGAGTTTGCTTTGAATATTACAAATGAATTAAAGCAGAATTTCATGTAAAATATGTATTTTCCCATGCAGTGAGACTGTGCCCGCCCTGCATGGGAAAACTGCTAATTTTGTCCAGTGGTTTAGAGAAGAGCTATACTTACCCTGTCCTCCGATCCTCTGGAAAACCGCACTCCCCCACGTCCAGCAATGGACTGTTCCTGCCATCTTCACACCAGCAGCTGGTCTATGGGCCTGATGATGTCAGGAATAGTCCATTCACAAGACCGATAGCATGCAGGGGGGGCAGAACTGGCAGGGATCGGTCTTTCAGTAAGTATATCTTCACTGTTATCACTCCTAGACAAAAACGAGCAGTTTAGCCCATGCATTGCAAGCACAGCCCCACTGCATGGTTAACAAACATTTTTGACAAGATTTCTGCTTTACATAACATTTTTGGTTTCAGATACAGTTAAAGTATATGTAACCCTTATCTTGTAAAACAACCCATTCAGTTTGAAAAAGAAATGAAAGGCAAAACATGTGTGTATAGATATAAAAAAAAAACATTTATAAATACCTTTTTTCACTTTTTTAATAACAGAACACATTACCTCTGTTCTCAGCTGCATAGATAGCCGGGGGAGTAGAAACAGCAGAATACTGATCTTCCCATTGACTGGCTGTGCATAGGGGGTGTGTCAGGATGAGTCTGATCATTGGAGGAGAGCAGGCTGCGTTCCCAGCGCAGGTAGAGAACTGACCACACTGTGCTCTTATGCCTAGTATGGTCATTCTTTAATAGGACAGCAAAGGGACTGGAAGGGTCACCAAGGATTTCACACAAAAAAAGCAACACAGAGAGAACAAGAGACTTTTTCATATAAGTACATGGTACAGCAGGCACATATCAGGAATATGACATTTTGGGTTTACATACTCTTTAGGTTCTGCTTCAACATTTTGAAAAGGATACTCCTGAATTAGATAGGTCCCAAAGTTGGACAGCTATGCTTGTCTAAAGTGTATACATAATAATTAAAGATGAGTACCGTATTTTTTGCTCCATAAGACGCACCTAGGTTTTAGAGGCAGAAAACAGGAAAAAAAATTCTGAATTAATAGACTGCAGACATAGTACAGGAGATGACCAGAGACTGCGGACAGCACAGGGATGACCAGAGACTGCGGACAGCACAGGGATGACCAGAGACTGCGGACACAGTACAGGGATGACCAGAGACTGCGGACAGCACAGGGATGACCAGAGACTGCGGACAGCACAGGGATGACCAGAGACTGCGGACACAGTACAGGGGATGACCAGAGACTGCGGACAGCACAGGGATGACCAGAGACTGCGGACAGCACAGGGATGACCAGAGACTGCGGACAGCACAGGGATGACCAGAGACTGCGGACAGCACAGGGATGACCAGAGACTGCGGACAGCACAGGGATGACCAGAGACTGCGGACAGCACAGGGATGACCAGAGACTGCGGACAGCACAGGGATGACCAGAGACTGTGGACAGCACAGGGATGACCAGAGACTGCGGACAGTACAGCAGATAACTGCTGACCTTTGGTGAGGGGGGGATCGGGTACCTGAATTTGACAGGTACCCGCTCTTACTTCCGCGGAGTTGTTCTTTGACCTTACCTGTTCCTCTATCCAGCCGCGCGCTGTCTTCCCGGCTTCTGTAATGTCGGCGCTCGGCATGACAGCCGGGTGCCCAGTGCGCATGAGCGAGAAGCACTTGTGCTTTGTGATTGGTCCGGCGGCTTCTGGGATCTGTCATGTGTCCTAGGTACCGCCTTACCATTCACAAAAAGCACCGCTTCTTGCGCATGCGCACTTGGCACCCACGGCTGTCATGCCCAGTGCCCACACTACAGAAGCCGGGAAGACAGCGCGCCGCTGGATAGAGGAACAGGTGAGATCAAAGAACAACTCCGTGGAAGTAAGAGCGGGTACCTGTCAAATTCAGGGTACCCGCTCCCCCCCCTCCCCAAAGGTCAGCAGTCATCTCCATAAGGTCCCGCTGCAGAGCTGAGCGGCCGGCCCGGTATTCTGACACGGCGGCGGTGGAAATACCGGACCGGCCGCTCCATATTCGCTCCATAAGATGCACTGACATTTTCCCCCTCTTTTTTGGGGGGAAAAAAGTGCGTCTTATGGAGCGAAAAATATGGTATATTGATTTTGCTACTAAAGTACTTATTCTACCGTCACTGGAACCGAGCTCGAGTAAAAACTCTCAATTTTGCTCACCAAATGGCTGGCAACATTTAGACAAACAAAAGATATAATTGGCACAAGAGAGATGGAGATGGGTATAGTGTTCACACAAAAAAGTCTTAAACAATATATAAAAAGTTCAGTTCTTTGGGATTATTTAAAAAAAAAAAAAAAATGACACAAGGAATGGGGCATATATATATGTATATACGAGGTATAAGGCAGGTAATACAGCTTGAGTAGTAGGAGGAGGAGGGGAACAGATGGTATACATAAATGTGTATATATATATACATACAAAGCTGCAATGTAGGCACCGTTGTGAGGCTTGCACTCCCTAGAGTAAACCGGACTCTGTAGTAGAGGAATAGAGAAGAGAGAGAGGTGCGCCAGACTAAGTGCAGTAGGATAAAAACAGTTTATTGCACACAAGATATTAAAAACTCACAAGACGTGGGTATACATCAGGCATCAGGTATAAGAAGGAGGACGACATCTGAACTGCACATCACACACGGATGGCTGCAGTGCCAGGGTGTATCTAATGGCTGACGCTCTAGGCGGGTCCCAACAGAAGGAGCGAGGATGGAAGGCGCAGTTACCGGGAGTTGCGGTGCAGAAGGGAACCGTGCTCAGTGCGGGCGCTGCTGGTCTCTCACATCAGCATGGTTGATGGGGCCAGCTTGAGACGCATCCAAGATGGCCGCCGAGCGGAAGTGACGTCAAGACGTTGTTAGGAATCGTCCAAAGGGGGCGGTGACGCGTTTCTAGGCAACCAGCCTTTTCATCAGACCTCTTTAGAGGCTGTGGTTTATTTTTTGGTATATTTAAAGTGTTACTAAACCCCAGACACTATATCTGGTCTCCCCAGACCCTGCATTCACTATATCTGGTCTCCCCGGACCCTGAATTCACTATATCTGGTCTCCACAGGCCCTGCATTCACTATATCTGGTCCCCACAGGCCCTGCATTCACTATATCTGGTCTCCCCGGACTCTGCATTCACTATATCTGGTCTCCACAGGCCCTGCATTCACTATATCTGCTCTCCCCGGACCCTGCATTCACTCTATCTGGTCTCCCCAGACCCTGCATTCACTATATCTGGTCTCCACAGGCCCTGCATTCACTATATCTGGTCTCCCCGGACTCTGCATTCACTATATCTGGTCTCCCCGCACCCTGCATTCTCTATATCCGGTCTCCCCAGACCCTGCATTCACTATATCTGGTCTCCCCGGACCCTGCATTCACTATATCTGGTCTCCCTGGATCCTGCATTCACTATATCTGGTCTCCCTGCACCCTGCATTCACTATATCTGGTCTCCCTGGACCCTGCATTCACTATATCCGGTCTCCCTGGACCCTGCATTCACTATATCCGGTCTCCCTGGACCCTGCATTCATTATATCCGGTCTCTCTGGACCCGGCATTCACTACATCTGGTCTCCCCGGACCCTGCATTCACTATATCTGGTCACCCTGGACCCTGCAGCCACTATATCTGGTCTCCCCGAACCCTGCATTCACTATATCTGGTCTCCCCGGACCCTGCATTTACTATATACGGTCTCCCCGGACCCTGCATTCACTATATCCGGTCTCTCCGGACCCTGCATTCACTATATCCGATCTCCCACAGTACACACAACATGGAAATGCAATTCTTTTAGTAAATATAAACTGCTAAATACCTTTTCTCATCAGCAGTATATAGCAGTCTTGTGACTTCTATCAGTGTCCATCCCAGCACTAGCTAAAGCTTGTAGAAGGAGTTTTCTTTCTGCTCTAGGAGGATGCAGAACCCCTGACCTCTGTCTGTACAGTGCTGATTGGCCCTGTGCTGATCACATGCACCCTCCCAAGAAAAAAAAAACCTCTCTAGCAATATACCCCAAACTAAGCATGTGCATGCCTACGGTTCAGTCTGGAGATAAGTGTTGGTCACTTGAAAAAGGGGAGGAACAGAGAAGAAAAGATAAAATGGCCTTTTTACACAATGCAGAGGATTAACCCCTTAGGTTCCACAGTGAGTATAACAAGCATGCTTTACTGCATATACAGACTGATTGTACTCTTGTGGGTTTAGTAACACTAAGTTAGTTTCCTTGTCAGTTTCATGTTTGTTTGTTTTTTCTATTTTTGTGTTGAGTCCTGTAGATTTACATTTTAATTTTACTTTTTCAACTCTCTCTAGGCTAATACAATGCTAATAAGAGGCTATTCGTTTTGCAAAAAAATTATTAAAATTGAGCTTCTGTAACCTCCAGGAGCTTTTTATAGCCCATAGCACCCTTTAAAAACACTATAATTTCTCCTTACTCACTGATCCCAATGACTTTTTGCCAAACAAGTAAAATGTTACCCGGATTTCAGGGAAACGAAAATTGTCAGTTTTGCTTATTCCTAATAATAGAGGATGGAAAAACCTGGGCTTGATTGGCTTAGAAAAGTAGGAAACAAATGATGTCCATATATTTTCTAATTAAAACAAAGTCTTTTTTAAATCTTACTTAAAGTAGAAGGTTAGAAAACATTAGGTACAAAAAACATTTTTAAAGCCATTAGAACTTTCCTTACCAAGGACCTAATTGATTGTCAAAGAATCTTAGCTGTGATGGTGGATGAAGCAGGACCAGGGGTGGACTGACAACTCATGGGGCCCCTGGACAATAGGAGATCATGGGGCCCCTGTGTCCTTGCCCAAACTCCAAAAAGCCTATGAAAAAGTTACCAAGGGCATCTCACGGGACCCCGTACTGACCCTGGGCCATCGGGCAGTGCCCGAGTTTCCATATGGTCAGTCCGCCCCTGAGCAGGACTCCAGGTAAATAGCTAAATATACAGAGGACAAGTCAAATAATCTGCATGATAAATTACTGGAAGGCTGTCTGGCCACTCATCACTTTACTGACTGACAAGGGATATGACACCACTATTTCCTATTAAAGCTTTGCAGCTTCTTGGTGTCACTTGATTATTTATTGGATAGTGAATGATCATCATCACACTACTTAGATTTTCTGGGAGCTCTTTTCTTAAAGTGGAACTTCACTGCATCTGATCACCACAAACCAAAAACGCTGTTTGATTCAAATTTTAATATTCAAAGCAAACTTGCCCATCCATCCATGTCCGCATGCTTTATTTTGCTGAGGAATCACGTTGAAAAACATGCCCTAGCATACTTGAGTAAGAGCAGATTATTTATGCAGCATTTACTTCCTGAAATATATCTGCCCTTAGCTCAGGCATGCAGGCAGGAGGGCGTGCTTGGCTATAAAAACCCCTCTTCCCCTCCTGAAGACTCCTGGGATGTATGACATCATTTGCCTAGGCATGGAAACCAAGAAGTAACTAAAGAATGTAAAAAACATTTTTCTCTTTCAATATATTTTTATTTTCATATTAACCTTCCTAGCGGTCTGATTATGTCCATATTTCTGTGCTAAAAGTGGTACAATTTTTTGCATGGAAATGTGTATTTTTTTTATTGTAGGCCTGTAATTTTTAGGAATAACTCACTGAAATCTGTCTGAACAAGAATCTAGTAAACATCCCGGATAGGATAAAACTTAAAACACAAAATCATAAATTATAATTTAATAAATAATCATAAAAATAATAATAATAAATTTAATTCAATAATATAATCAAACCAAAAACACTGAAATGTGAAATATAGCGCCAAGTTCGCACATCACTGAGCAAAGTCGCAGAATCGTTTTCAGTGTCTGATGAGGAATTTCCCCCACGAATCATTATCACTCAATTCTGCAAGTGGTTCTAATTTACTATCGCTGTTCTCTAGCCGGTCTAAAACCGTTTTTGACCTAAAGGGACGCTTTTTGGACGCCATGGACGTTTCTCAGTTTCCAGGCAGAAAGAACAGTAAAAATGCAGGCAGGGCTCCGGACAAAGCACTCGGGACAAAATGTATGTGAAATGGTTTGATACAGTAATGTTTATACTATGTGATTTTAGTGTATTTAGTGAATGTCACTTTTTGTCATTTTCAAATTTCCCGTCAGTTCTGTCCCCCATACGTCCCGACGTCGCAGGGAATGGAACCCAGAAGACAGATGCCGGCATCCGCCGGAGGACATTACAGGGGACATTGCAGGAGGAACATCGCGGGAGCGCAGGATAAGGTAAGGGAGAACAGATCCCGGAGCAGCGCTGCAGCGTATTTCCGAGTGTAGCTCGGGGTTACCGCTTTTAGTACTGAAACTTTACCCCGAGCTACACTTGGGAATACCGCCAGGGGGGGGTTAATAAAATACAATACAAACACCTCCCAGGATACACGGGAGGAAAAGAGGAAAACAACAAAAAAAAAATTGCGATATTTCCATCAATGAGGACATATAGGCACATTCCACTGTGACCAAAATAAGAAAGGGCACAACAATAACATGCTGACAGTACAGAAAGGCCCTTCAGGGAATGATATGTCAACAATGAACTCAACAACAATTAAAGAAAATATAGAATGAGAGAAAGAAAAAGGAACTAGAAAAGTTGGAATAAGACGAGAGAGAAAGAAAAAGGAACTAGAAAAGTTGGAATAAGACGAGAGAGAAAGAAAGAGAGAGAGAAAGAAAGAGAGAGAGAAAGAAAGAAAGAAAGAAAGAAAGAAAAAAAAAAAGGGGGGGAGAAAGTAGAAAGTAGAGGCGCGCCCCTCTCACTGCCCAGGCAAATGGACAGTCCCAAATCATTGAGAACTTGACAGGTATCTAAACTATGGGTCCCATACTCTTTCAAAAAGAGTCATCTTATCTTGAAGAATCGCCGTCAGGCGTTCAATATAAAAACATTTTTAAAACAAATAAATATGATATTCCTATATATACTCTCCAGCCACTTTATTAGGTGCACCTTACTAGTACCAGGTTGGACCCCCTTTTGCCTTCAGAACTGTCTTAATTCTCCATGACATAGATTCAACAAGGTGTTGGAAACATTCCTCAGAGATTTTGTTCCATATTGACATGAGCTACTGTTGCCTTTCTATCATCTCAACCCAGTCTGCCCATTCTCCTCTGACATCAACAAGCCATTTTCTTCCACACAACTGCCACTCACTGGATATTTTCTCTTTTTCGGACCATTCTCCGTAAACCCTAGAGATGGTTGTGTGTGAAAATCCCAGTAGATCTGCAGTTTTCAAAATATTCAGACCAGCCCGTCTGGCACCAACAACCTTGCCACGTTCAAAGTCACGTAAATCCCCTTTCTAGCCCATTTTGATACTCGATCTGAACTTCAGCAAGTTGTCATCGCCACATCTAGTTGCCTTAGGTGTCCGTTTATGACACAGAGAATAGCTGCGATTCAACAGATCTCAGCTATTCTCTGGTCATTCACAGTTTATGACACTCAGGAGATCATGTCAGCCCTTCTCTGGAGATCTGTGTTCTCCCTCCAGATTCTCCAGCCCAGAGCTGGAGAATCAGAGGGACCGAAAACTAAGCAGAGATAATTTTACCTCTGCTTAGTAAACTGATCTTTTACTGTAATCTCGTGAGATTATAGTAAAATGAGCCGTTTTTCAGAGTTTGTAGACCGTTCTCCAGCGTTTGGAGACCGTTCTCCCTTCGTTCGGAGAACTGCTTCATAAACTGCATTCACAGGAGAAATGTGTTCTCCGAGAATGCCGGAGAACTGAGCAGCGATCTATTACCGCTGGTTCATAAACGGACACCATAATGCGTTGAGTTGCTGTCATGTGATTGACTGTTTAGCAATTTGTGGTACTAAGCAATTGAACAGGTATATCTAATAAAGTGGCTGTTGAGTGCATTTACTAATGCTAGCAGTATAAGGATTAAAAATGGTGTTGATTGAGAGAGCAAAGTTTTGCTTTAACTACCAAATTACCAAATTCTGAAACATGTTTGCTTGACAGCAGTGCAGTAAAGCCTGATTGTCTCACAATGCATAACCTCTAGTGCAGTTTATGATAGTACACTTCCTTTGGGTTACACATGATATACATATGTAATGATGCCCTTGTGTCAAATGAATTATATCATTTATCAAAGTCAACTGAAATTTCATCTAAGCATTTATCGCAGCAATTGACAGTTCCCTCACTCTCTGAGATGTCTACAGAATTATGGGGGTTTATTTTCTTTCGCTTAACCACTTGCCCTCCGGAAGATTTACCCCCCTTCCCGACTAGGCCATTTTTTGCGACACGGCACTGCATTACTTTAATTGACTATTGTACGGTCATGCAACACTGCACCAAAATGAAATTTGTGTCCTTTTCCCCACAAATA